AGGAGTTGGGACCAGGAATTCAACGCAAGGGTTCATGTTATTGGTCTTTTATTCAAGTTCATCACCAGGGAATAGTATTTTAAACTCCAAAAGACTTCACGGACATTTCCAGAATTTCTCCGGAGACACAGATCAATAGATCAGAATAATCAAGAAAAGCCAACAAGTTTGCTAAACTTCGCTTGAGAGTGTTTTACTTGAGTAAGCAGAAGGCAAATGGAATTATCCCAACCTCATGAAGTAAGGGAGAAGTCTGCTCTCTGGAGAAGCACCTCTAATTTGCAGCTGGAAATAAAAAAGAAGGTGGCATTTTAATTCCAGTCTCCAGGCCTGGACACAGGGACATGGGTGGCAGTTGTTTGTTACATGGTTTTGTGAATGAACAGCTTCCCCATTGCACTGAGTAATCAATGCCCTGTCCGCTCAAAATAATGCACTCTATATGAGGGTCCAGGGCCTACGGATTTGCACTTACAACCAAAACTCACTGAAAACGAAGCCAGCCTGATTGCTCTGAGGGCATCTTGGGCCCCGGTGACACATAATTATTAGCCTGGGAACTATGAGCCTATTCGAGATATCTGCCATGGTGTCCTGCATGAGACTAAAATTTCAAAATCGTTAATGTGAAGCCTACCTCAATTTCAATAAACGAATCACGCGAGGTAGGATATGAGTAATGAGTGAACTTTGAGTTCCCGGGAACATTTTCCAAAATGGCTCTTTTGCAGAGCATTAATGATAAGGGGTTCCTGGTTAGGATGCACCGCCCCCCTTCAACAGGCTTGTCTGCCCTGACAGCTCCTTTGGAGCGTTTTCACAGAACCGTCTTCGGCTTCATGCGCTCAGCTTGCCTCTTCCTCTGCTCTCCACTCCATCTCTTCCTCGGTTCCCCTTTGTTCCTCTCGGCCGCCCTCCAGGCCCTTTTCTTCTCTGATATGGCAGCCACTTTAGCATCCCTGGGTACTTCTGCGATAGGGGGCTCCTGGCGCTGCTCAAGAGAAACAAAACAAGACCCCCCACCCCACCCCCGCCCCAGGAAGTGTACAAATCCGAGCTGGAACAAAGTGATTCTTTAACTCACATTCAAAAGAATTTTCCTCAGCCCACGCTGCGTGTGCTGTATTGTTAACTTGTATCAAAGGGGTTCGTATCTCAGGAATCACGGGAAATTTTCAAACATGATTGATGGCTAGTCAAAGAACATCCTTGGCGCGATAAGCCGCCAAGAGGAAATGTGCTGAGCCGGTTCAGGATCGGCCTGGCTGTGCCTTTCAAATTCCTTTCATCGCAATGGCGACCATAAGCCCTGCAGGGTGAGAACAAGCCAGGACTTTCTGTGGAATTTTCCTAACTGCTGATATGTAATCCATACAGCCAGAGGTAGCAGCCAGAGGATAAAAGATTTAAAGAAAATGGAGACACAAGGACTGATTTTCTTTTTTTAAGCAACTTGGAAAGAAAAAAAAAAGGTGCGGGAGGAGGGGAGGGGGGACAGCAAGGTTTATGTTAACCCATTGGGAGGGCACTGGAATCTCTTTGATGAAGGACTGAGATTGCTTTAAAGCATTTTTATTGAAGCAAAAAGTGAGTGTGGGGACCAGGAACTCAGGGTGACCGGGTCACCAGCTTCTCCCTCACCCGAATTCTGCATGCAACCTAATTGCTAAAATGCTGTACTAGATTTTCCTTTAGATGAGAAGGCTGCATAAATAGTAGAATATCTCTCTCTCTCTCTCTCTCTCTCTCTCTCTGTCTCTGTCTCTCTCTCTCTCCCTCTCTCTCTCTCTCTCTCTCTCTCTCTCTGTGTGTGTGTGTGTGTGTGTGTGTGTGTGTGTGTGTGTGTGTATGTAGCCAAGCTATCCATATGGATCTCAGAGTATAAAACTTAAAGAGACAGTTTTCACTTCCCATTGTGTAGATTCCTAGTTAAGGATCTGGACATCAGGCTTGGTGGAAAGCACCCTTACTCTCTGACCCGTCCCACTGACTCACCTAGTAGAAACAGGAGAGTCATATGAAGATAAGAGCCCAGTAAGGGGGAGGGAGAGGGGTCACGTGCACATATATGCCCAACGAGACATGAAAATGGTTGCTAAAATGTCAATACCCTATTAAGCACATCCTTCCTCACCATGAGTTGAGATTCCGAAATAGCATTTCAAAAGCCGAGACAAAGCAGATGAAATGTATGAAAAGACAAAGAAGTGTTCAGCAGTTCCCACCGCAGAGACTCAACCATGGCTTAGGAAGCAGGAAGACAATCTTGGCGAGTGTTAGAGTCCAAGAGAACAACAGTCATGGATGCAATAAACAAGAGCGCTTAATTAATTCCAACATGTTGGGGTGGCACATGGCAGCTCCGAGAGAAGCGCAAGGGTCCTTTCGAACAGGGTTAGGGGAATTCCGGGAGGAGAGATGAGTCTAGAGATGGATGACAGTTTACGTTGCTATAGGATTGGTTGACGGCTCAGTGGTTAGGGGCTTTTCAGCTCCTGGTGGGAGAGTCAACTATAGTTCTCTTAAGCTTGCAGAGGCTGTGGGGCAACCTCCGATTGGTTGCCCCTTGGTTGCGACTTTCCCAAGAACTGCTTGCTCAGCTCCGGCTGGTTCCAGTATATTGAAACTAAGACCTGGTCCCTGGCAGGGGCCGTTAGAGATCTTTCATGTCTCTGGTCTGGCTCCACACCCTCTCACTAGCAAAGAGAGAACAAAGAATTTGCTGAGAATTGTGAGTCTAAAGCTTCCCTTACACAGAGGAAACTGCCAGGTCAGGTATCAGAATTAATAAAATGGGAACCAGAGAGACAGCTCAGTGGTTAAGGGCACTGGCTGCTCCTCCAGAGGACCCGGAATCAAATCATTTCCTAGCACCCACATGGCAGCTCACAACCGTCTATAGCTCCAGTCCCAGGGGATCTGATGCCCTCCTCTGGCCTCTGAGGGCACTGCACACACTCAGTGCGCACACACACACACACACACACACACACACACACACACACGTGGGAAAAACATCCATACAAACACATAAATAAATAAATTTAAAAATACAAAACCAAAAGCCCAAGAATGCCCTCAGAAAGACAGCAGTAGTTGGTACCCCATGTCCTGATTATACTTTCATTTTCTACCTCCCCTTTATTATACACAAAGTAAAGGTATATGTGCATAAGCAAAAATAGATAGATAGATAGATAGATAGATAGATAGATAGATAGATGATAGAGAGATAGAGAGATAGAGAGACAGATAGATAGATGGATAGATAGACGATAGATAGATGATAGATAGTTAGATAATAGATAGATGGTTGATTGATAGATAGATAGATAGATGATAGATAGGTAGATAGATAGACGATAGATAGATAGATAGATAGATAGATAGATAGATGATAGATAGATAGATAGATAGATAGATAATAGATAGTTAGATAATAGATAGATGATAGACAGATAGATAGATAGATAGATAGATAGATAATAGATAGTAAGATAATAGATAGATAGATAGATAGATAGATAGATAGATAGATAGACGATAGATAGATAGATAGATAGATAGATAGATAGATAGATAGATAGATAGATAGATGATAGACGATAGATGATAGATAATAGATAGAAGATAGATAGATAGATAGATAGATAGATAGATAGATAGATAGATAGA